AAGAACATGGTCCACATCTCTTCTTTGGTTTCTTCGTGTTCGATGTGCATGATATGCTCATCGGGAAAGTCATCTTGTAAGGATTGTTATTTGTCTGTGGATCCATGGGCTAGATAATCCGCTAGGGGACTTCCTTTAATAGCTTTACGGGTGACGTGAATGATGTCAAATTCCGAGAGGAGAACACTGCCACCTAGCTATTCTTCCGGTTAAAATGGGCTTCTCGAAGAGGTATTTGATTGGATCCATTTTGGAGACCAACCATGTTGTATGTCGAGCCATATACTGTGCGAGACGTTGAGTGACCCACACCAATGCGCAACAAGTTTTTTCGAATGGTGTATAACGGGTCTCGTAGTCCGAGAATTTCTTACTGAGATAATAAATGGCCCGTTCCTTTTTCCCGGTTTCATCATGCTGGCCGAGCACACATCCCATGGACTCTTCGAGGATTGATAGATATAGGATCAGAGGTCTCCCTTCAACGGGTGGTACCAATACTGGTGGATTGGTTAAACATGTTTTGATTTTATCGAACGCTTGTTGGCATTCTTCGCTCCACACCGTTGGCTGATTTTTGTGCAACAGTTTAAAGATGGGTATACATTTATCCGTTAACTGCGCGATGAAACGGGCAACATAATTAATTCGGCCTAGGAAACCTCTAACCTCCTTTTCCGTGCTTGGTGGGGGCATTTCCAAAATTGCCTTAGTTTTGTCGGGGTCCACCTCAATTCCTCTTTCGCTGACAATGAACCCTAGGAGTTTTCCTGATCGTACTCCGAAAGTGCATTTTGCCGGGTTTAGCTTAAGTTGATACTTCCGAAGTCGATCAAAAAGTTTTCGGAGATATTGAATGTGGTCCATTTCATTTCTGGACTTGGCGATCATGTCGTCCACATATACTTCTATTTCTTTGTGGATCATGTCATGGAATAGCGTGACCATAGCCCTTTGGTAGGTAGCCCCTGCATTTTTCAGCCCAAACGGCATTACCCGATAGCAGAAGGTACCCCATGGTGTAATGAATGAGGTTTTTTCTCTATCCTCCACAGCCAGTTTGATTTGGTTGTACCCTGCATACCCGTCCATGAAAGAATACAACGTGTTGGTAGCGGTATGGTCTACCAACATGTCTATGTGTGGTAGGGGAAAGTCGTCCTTTGGACTTGCTCGATTGAGGTCCCTATAGTCCACGCAGACCCTGACCTTCCCGGTCTTTTTGATGACGGGTACTATATTGGCCAGCCATTCTGGGTATTTGGACACTACAAGAAAGTTGGCATCCAACTGCCTTTGCACCTCCTCTTTTATCATTAAGGACCAGTCCGACTTGATTCTTCTAAGTTTTTGTTTTACAGGTCGGCACCCCTCTTTCAGTGGCAATTTGTGTTCCACTATACTCGTGTCAAGCCCAGGCATGTCATGGTACGACCAAGCAAATACATCCACATATTCCCTCAGAAGCTGTATCAATCCCTTTTTCATGCTACTTTCCATTTGGGTGCCGATATTCACTTTTTTCTCCTCATCCTCTTTTCCTAAATTGAAAGTTTCTATTTCCTCCTGATGCGGTTGTATGATGCGTGTTTCCTTTTCCAGCATCCTTTGCATGTCCGGAGAAATGGTCTCCTGCTCACTGTCGGACTCAATCCATTCGTCTTCCGTTTCCAGGGTCCACAGAGATTCATCAATCATAGACATGATGCGTTTTAGGTTCTGTTTTTAGTCATAGATTTTATTATTCAATTTATTTTTGAAAGAATAATAAATAGAAGAGGGAAAAGAATGAATATGACAAAATGCCTCGTGTATTAATGAAAATGAGATGTATGTACAAGCCCTTTTAATCAAAAATTCCTGCGCCCACGGGCGGGGACCGTAGGAGATATAGAGAAAAGCTTAAAAAGAAAAGACCCTAGGGCTGATCCTCCCAGTCCTCCCTCTCTGCTACTCTGGCTTTGACAGAGGTTTGTCATCCGTGCTGGAAGCAGAGGCGTCAAAAGTAATCCACCCGACGTCGATTAATTCTTGAACCCGATACTTAAGGGTCAAGCAATTCTCTGTAGAGTGACCGGGTGAGCCCGAATGGTAAGCGCATTTTTCATTTGGCTTATACCATTCGGGGTAGGGAGGCTCCAATTGTTTCTTGGGAGGGACGCAGGTCAGGAGCTTAGCCTCCAGCAGTTGAGGTAGCAGCAGTCCGTAGGAAGTGGAGATTGGAGTGAACTTCCTTTCTTTCTTGCGGGGCTGCCTGGGCGTTTGCGGGGTAGAGGAAGGAGTGGCGAAATTGATTGCGTGCACAAATTCGTCCTTCTTTTTGCCAGCAGGTTTCCTGAAGGAGACACCAGCTTGGGAAGACTATGCTATCTTCCCGCTCCTCAGTCCTTGCTCCACCCTCTCGCCCACAGTGACTATGTCTGAGAAAAGGTTGGAGGTACTGGCTATGGCCTTGTCGTAGTACGCTCCAGTCAGTGAGTCGATGAACATAGCTACTGCCTCCTTGTCCGTCAAAGGAGGCTCTATCTGGGCTGCCATTTCCCTCCACCTTTGGGCATACACTTTAAAGGGCTCATCGTTCCTCTTGCTCAGAGTTCTAAGATCTGACCTGTCGGGTGTCAGATCGATGTTGTATCGGTAACGACGGAGGAAAGCGTCTGCCAACTGTTTCCAGTTTTGGACCTACCCTCTCTCCAACTGCATGTACCAGTTGAGAGCCGTGTCTGCCAAACTCTCCTGGAAGCAGTGGATGAGGAGTTTCTCATTATCGGCGTGGGCGGCCATCTTACGATAATACATCGTAAGATGGTTCTTAGGGCAGGTCATCCCGGCGTACTTGGGGAAGTCCGGGATTTTAAATTTGGGAGGGAAGTGGATGTTCTTCACGAGGCACATGTCTGCCACCTCCTTGACGTCGAAGTTGTGCCCTTCGACCGCCTTCAGCCTCTCCTCCAGGGCAGAGAGTTGTTGCTTAGATACCTCTGGGGTAAGGATGCGTGCAGTCTTAGCATCCTTCTCGCCAAAAAAGTATTCCTCCTCTTCTTCCTCATGAGGAGGGACATGTTTAGCTTGGTCTTCGCCCTTGCTTTGACCCTGGCGTACGACCTCCATTAATTGGGCCACTTGCTCGCGGAGGGTATTGACTTCCGCAGTGAGCTTTCGGTTCTGCTCTTCTAAATTTTCCATTGCTCTTGCCTTTTGTGCACGAGTACGAGTGGGGAGAGGACCAGCCACTTTCTAGAATGCCCGAAAAAGTTTTATTAATGCATGTTGAGTGCTTAGACTAACATGAATATGCTTATGCATGAGAGATTTTATTTAAATGATGCTGAATGTGCTTTCATTTTTATTTTCTCTCTTGGTTTTTCTTTTCTCATGATATGATGTAGTATGGATGAGTTTGACTTTGTCAGAAGTTATTTATTTTTGATGTTTTTGTATTTTTATTTGATGCTTATTTTATAGCCTTTTATCTCTTCTGTCGGAACTGCATGGCTACTTAGCTTACAAAGAACCTGAAACCAGGCTAGCTAAAAGGCAGACTGTCCGAGATAAAATATGGCTTTATGCGAAAGAATATTTAGCGTCCCTTATCTCTTCTATGGGAACTGCGTGGCTACTTAGCTTACAAAGAACCTGAAACCAGGCTAGCTAAAAGGCAGACTGTCCGAGATAAGGGTGTTTATTTGTGAAATATTTTTTGTGTTTTTCTTCTGTTGTTTGTTTATGCCATGCAACATACAAATGCAACAATCATATGCACACACAATTCGATTATCCCCGAACAGGCGAGATTTCATTTTTATCACGAGGTAGGGTTTTCCTGCAGAAAAGTGCATTGGTCAGGGTAGGTTCTAACTGTTCTCACCAGGCTAAGGCCCCCAAGGTGCCCCCATTATAGGGTCCCCACTCTCCAGCCGTCCGACCATGCTCAGCACTAAGGCCAGAGTCGGTCTTGTTGCCAAAAGAGGAAGGTTATCACCTTGAGTGGTGGTTTCCGATCACACTGGTGGGCACAAGGCCCTAACTACAGCGAACCGTACCTGCCACCCACTCCCTATGGTTGTCTCACTTGCCCCCGGGTATAGAGGGAACTGTAGTGTGCAAGGGTTTGTGTGCAGTTTATATTTCAATCAATTGCGTAAGTATAAACAAGCAACAGTTATGGGTGGTTACAACGTCCTTATGTTGTCCGATAACCGGGCTAACCTAGAGACGAGGTTTTCGAAAAGTGTTCTTGGGTTGTCCGATAACCGGGCTAACCCAAGAACGGGTTTTGAAGGGTTCGTGGAGTCGCCACCGATGTTTTTACCAGAAACATCGGAAAAGGAGTTTAAAAAGGCGTTGGTTTTCGAAAACCAACTTTGGTCATTAGAACCAGAGTTGGGTAAGGGAGTTAGTTACGTGCAAAGGAAGTGTTAGTTCCTTTACGACGCCCCTTTCGGGTTCCCTATGATAGGACGACTACTTTGGATAAATAACTAAACTGGAAAATTGCGCTTTTACCCTTTTATTATGCGGTATTTAAAGATTATGACTACATGACCCTAGCGTCTATTGCATAATTTTAAATGAAAGCGGTAAAATTAGAAAGAGAGAGGGTGCACCTTCAAAGCAAGCTTTTTGTATTTCTCTTTAAAGAGTGGGTGCTTTTTGGCAACCCTTCACTCTACAACTCTCAGAAACTCCGGAAATGCCTCGGAGGGATTCTAAAGAAGATTTAGGACGCTCAATTTATGCCTAGAGACACTCAGAAACTCCGGAAATGCTTCGGAGGGGTTCTAGAGAGAGAAAATCTAGAGAGAAGGAGGAGCTACTGTGTTTTTCTGTGTTGAAAAAGGGGGAATGGAGCCCCTATTTATAGTTTTTCGCGCCTGACAGGTCGAGACCGCCATTTTGTCTAACAGGGTCGAGACCGCCATCTGGACAATCCAGACCGCCATCTTGACCATGGCAGGGGGTCGAGACCGTCGTCTGGATAATCCAGACCGCCGTCTCGACTAGGCAGAAGTCGAGACCGCCGTCTGGATAATCCAGAACGCCGTCTCGGCCTTTTTCAGGCGACAAGACCGCCGTCTGGACAAGCGAGAAAGCGGTCTCGTCCCTGGCGTGAGGCGAGACGGCGGTCTGGTCCTTCCAGACGGCGGTCTCATCCCTTCAGGGCGAGAAACATTATTTTTCGGGCCAAAAAACCCTCCTATCTTAGTACGGGGGCCTAATAGTCTCTACTAGTGGCTTGTTAGGCTTCGACCGTCCTCAAATAGGGGGTTTTCTGACTTTATTTGGAGGCCGGGCAAGATTTGGGGTCTACAATGGACTTTTATGTAGTCCTTATTCTCCTTTGGGGAATGAAGCGGGGATTCTGGATAACTGTGTTCGATGACTGATGTGGCGATGAAGTTGAGTCGTGAGGTAATCTTTTTATCTTGCCTCTAGAGTAAGCAAGGATCCTCTTGGGGATGATCAAGCCTTTCCGTTGGCTTTTCTACGTTGATGGCTTCCTTCTTTTTAAATGGAAGGATGTTGATTGAGGCTTCAAATGACTGTGGTTGACGACTCATGTGATGATGATGCTGAGTCGTGGAGTAATTTTTGTTTTGCCTCTGGAGTAGGCAAGGATCCGCTTGGGGATCATCGAGCCTTTCCGTTGGCCTTTTTCTGGTGTACCTTCTTTTATTGGGATAGAAGGTTGGAGCTAGTTTTCTTGAAGCTCTTTATTTTGCTGAAATGGTTGTGTCGCCTTTCGTGATTTTGATTTTCATTTAGAGGCTGGATTTTGGTGCCTTTTATTTTCAATCACAAGCATGGAGACTATCCTCCTTATATGCATGTTTATTATTCTTGTTTGAAGAAAATTATTTTTTCTTGATTTTGACAAAGTCGTATTATGCAACTACTTTGTGTGTGGATGTCCTAAATGCAATCTATTGTTTATTAATTTTTTATGCATTTAGAAAGTAACTGGCCTTTTCCCGTTGGCTTCTTATGAATACGCCGATGGGCTCCTTTTTTATGACCATGATGGACTCCTCCTTTATGATGATGGGCTCCTCTTTTATTCATCTTTTGGTTTTAGTCCTATCTTTTGCCTAGACCGCCCTTTACGGGTTTTCGATCTAGCGGGCTGGCTTAATTTTTGCCTAGAATATCTTAGGGGGCTTTTGCCTTATCTTTTGCCTAGATCGTCTTTTTTGGGGTTTGCGATCTAGCAGGCTACCCTAGTTTTTACCTAAGAATATACTAGAAGGCATTTATTATTTTCTTATTTGTTATTCTTCCCTTTTTTAGATGCATGCTTGATCTTTGATTAAAGGTCTTTGCGCATATTTATGATTTATCAATAAAGAGGCATTTCCATAATATTTGGTCAAGAGAAAGGAAATGAAAAGGAATTTTATTGATAAATGAACAAAAGCTTATTTCTTTTATAGAAGGATTTCAAGGGTATTTAGAAGAATGGGTGGTCAGGGTTGGTTGTACTGTTTGGGCTTATACAGTCATGTCCATGATATCTGCCCCCTGGTTCTCCTAATTGCTTCAGTTGAGATGCCTGAGCTCAGAGTGAAGACTATGCAGACTGCTTGCTTCTAGAAGAATGTTACCTTAGCCGCCTTTTCGGTTTTTGACTAAAGTAACCATTGCTCTTAGTTAGTTTTTTTTACCTCTACTTTTTGCCTAGGACGTATCCTAGCGAGGGATATAGACCTTATCTTTTGCCCAGGGATGCCCTTTGCGGGTTTTCATTCCTGATGGGTCATGAGTAATGTCTTCAAGCATAATACTTCTTCACCGCATCAGAATTGATCGGGTGTCGAAGTTCCTCTCCATCCATATTAGTGAGGATAAGTGCCCCTCCTGAGAAAGCTCGTTTGACCACAAAGGGTCATTCGTAATTTGCTGCCCATTTTCCAATTTTATCCTTCTGGGCTGGAAGCAATTTCTTTATCACTAGATCCCCTTCTTGATAAGTATGAGGGTGGACCTTTTTATCATAAACCTTTTTGATCTTCTTTTGATAGGCTTGTCCATGACATATAGCATTCAGCCGCTTTTCATCGATAAGGTTTAATTGATCGTATCGACTTTGAACCCATTCAGCTTCTGTTAATTTTGCTTCCATTATAATTCGCAGGGAAGGTATTTCGACCTCTATTGGCAATATGGCCTCCATTCCATATACAAGGGAGAATGGAGTAGCTCCTGTTGAGGTTCGTACAGACGTTCGATAACCATGAAGAGCAAAAGGCAACATTTCATGCCAATCCCTATAGGTTTTAACCATCTTTTGAACAATCTTCTTGATGTTTTTATTGGCTGCTTCTACTGCGCCATTCATTTTGGGCCGGTAGGGAGAGGAATTATGGTGTTGAATTTTGAAATCTTGGCATAGTTCCTACATCATCTTATTATTCAAGTTGGTTCCATTATCAGTAATAAGACGATGTGGGATGCCATATCGACATATGATATTTTTCTTAACAAAGGTGACCACTACCTTTTTAGTCACATGTGCATAAGATGCAGCTTCTACCCACTTAGTGAAGTAATCGATAGCCACCAGAATGAATCGATGGCCATTGGATACCTTAGGTTCAATAGGTCCGATAACATCCATGTCCCACATAGCAAATGGCCAAGGGATAGCCATAACATTGAGAGGTACCGGTGGAACATGTACATTGTCCGCATGTACCTGACACTTGTGACATTTTCTGGCATACTGATGACAGTCCTTTTGCATTGTGGACCAAAAGTATCCTGCCTGAGGATTTTCCTAGCCATGATATGCCCTGGTGCATGAGTCCCGAAGGTTCCTTCATGTATTTCTTTAATCAATATCTGTGCTTCTTCGAGATTGACGCATCTTAACAAAGTGGAATCAAAATTCTTTTTATAAAGGGTTTCTCCTATCAACATAAACCCTATGGCCCTTTTCCGAATGATCCTTATGTCATTGTCATTGATTCCTTCGGGATACTCACCCTTTGTCAAGTATCGCCTTATGTCCTGGTACCAAGGGGTTTTATCTTTTTCACTGTCCACCATCATACAAAAGGCTTGTTTATCGTGCCTTTTGACTTGGATGATGGGCATCTCATGTTCTTGTCCTAATGCGAACATGGATGATAATGTTGCCAGTGCATCTGCAATCTAGTTATCTTCCCGAGGGATGTACTCGAAACTGATGTTTTCCATTTTTGAAGTCATATTACGGATGTGCTCCAGATAAGGGATTAATTTGGAATTTCTAGTTTCCCATTCACCCTTGAGTTGATAAATAACAAGGGATGAGTCACCGAATACTTTAAGTCTAGTCACCCCATGATCCAGAGCTACTTGAATACCTAGAGCACAGGCTTCGTATTCCGCCATATTGTTTGTGCAATCAAAGTTTAATCTGGCTGTTACTGGGATATACTTCTTTTCGGGAGATATTAAAATAGCTCCGATCCCATGTCCCAATAAGTTTGAAGCTCCATCGGAAAACATGATCCACTTATTATTTTCAAGCTCTTCATGTTGGATGTGCATTATGTGCTCATCTGGAAAATCATCTTGGAGGGATTGATATTCGTCAGTTGGCCCATGTGCTAAGTATTCTGCTAAAGGACTGCCTTTGATGGCTTTCTGAGTGACATGATTAATGTCGAATTCTGAGAGGAGTACCTGCCACCTAGCTATCCTTCCGGTCAAGATAGGTTTTTCAAACAAGTATTTGATTGGGTCCATTTTGGAAATCAACCAAGTTGTGTGTCTGACCATATATTGTCGAAGGCGCTGAGTTGCCCACACCAATGCACAACATGTTTTTTTGAGTGGTGTATAACGGGTCTCATAGTTTAGAAATTTCTTACTGAGGTAATATATGGCTTGTTCTTTTTTACCAGTATCATCTTGTTGACCGAGCACACATCCCATGGACTCGTCGAGTACTGAAAGGTAAAGAATCAAGGGCTTTCCTTCCACAGGTGGTACCAATACTGGGGGATTGGTTAGACACAGTTTGATTTTTTCGAAAGCTTGTTGACATTCATTATTCCAAACTTTCGGTTGGTTTTTACGCAATAACTTGAAGATGGGCGTACACTTGTCTGTTAATTGCGCGATGAACCGGGCGATGTAATTTATTTGGCCCAAGAACCCTCTGACTTCTTTTTCTGTTCTTGGTGGGGGCATTTCTACGATTGCCTTTGTTTTATCAGGGTCTACCTCAATTCCTTTTTTACTGACAATAAACCCAAGGAGTTTTCCTTATCGTACTCCGAATGTGCATTTAGCCGGGTTGAGCTTAATCTGGTATTTTCGAAGCCGATTAAATAATTTCTTTAAGTATTGGAGGTGATCCATCTCATTTTTGGACTTGGTGATCATATCATCCACATATACTTCGATTTCTTTGTGGATCATATCATGAAATAATGTAACCATAGCCCTTTGATAAGTAGCCCCTGCATTCTTAAGTCCAAAAGGCATTACTCTATAACAGAATGTACCCCATGGCGTAATGAAGGAACTTTTTTCTCTATCTTCAATAGCCAATTTAATTTGGTTATACCCTGCATATCCATCCATGAAAGAATAGAGAGTATTTGTAGCAGTATTATCTACCAACATATCAATATGTGGTAAGGGAAAATCATCTTTTGGACTTGCACGGTTTAAGTCCCTGTAATCTACGCATACTCTGATTTTTCCATTTTTCTTTATAACTGGCACGATGTTTGCCAACCATTCAGGGTACTTTGACACAATCAGAAAATTGGCATCCAAGCTGTTTTTCTACTTCTTCCTTAATTTTCAAGGACCATTCGGCTTTACTCTTCGAGCTTACGCTAACAGGCCAAAATCCCTCTTTTAGTGGTAATCTATGCTCCACTATACTTTTATCAATTCCAGGCATATCATGGTAGGACCATGCGAATACGTCAACATATTCTCTTATTAATTGTATCAGCCTTTCCCTGACATCATCGTCAATTTGGGTACCAATATTTACTTCTTTCTTATTATTTTCTTGTCCCAAATTGATGGCCTTAGTTTTCTCCTGATGGGGCTGTATTGATTGAGACTCTTTTTCCAACAGTCTTTTCATGTCCGGGGAAATGGTCCCCTCCTCACTGTCTGACTCAATCCATTTGCCTTCGGCTTTCGGATCTTCCAGAGAATTTTCAATCACAGACATGACTGTATGGTTATGCTT